CCCCACATCGAGCCTGTTTTCCCGTCTCTCCGGGAATAACAGCATGAGTTTGCATCTGATGCCTGACAGAGAGACAAACCCTCCCTGCAAACCCGGCTGCAGCCACCCCGTGCACATCCTCCCCTTCCCAGCCACAGGCTGCTGCAGCAACAGGGATTAAAATGAAGATGAAAAACTCCTGTTTGGGCCGCAGTTTTATTTCCTGTTTCTAGAACTCCTTGTACAGGAGGACAAATCCCTAAATATTTCCAAGCATCCCGCGTGCTCAGGGCAGGCTCCCCCCAGCCACGGCCAGGCAGAGGAGGGATGACTAATTTTTTTTTAGCATAAGACGCTGCAGAGCGTCCTGTGAAGAAGCTCAGTAAATTCCTGAGGCTCCCGGCAAGGACTCCGCCGCTCCTTGCGAAACTTCCCAGCTGGAACCTCCCAGCCGAAAAGCCAGAAAACATCGCTTTTCTTCCCTCCGCCAGCAAACAAGAGGTTGGGATTCCTTTTCACGACAGTATTTGGATTTTTAATGTCAGTCCATATTTAGCAGGAGGGGAAAAAAAGCCTCCCTTCCTTCCTGTCACATTTTCCACCCTCGATGACATCCAAGAGCAGGAATAAGCAAGCGCTGGCTGAGGAGGGAGGACGCAGCTACCCGAGCGTGGGAGAGCCTGGAGCGAGGCAGCCTGGACCTTCCCATTTGGGATTCCCAGTCGGGATGCAGGGAGGGGAGGGAACCCTCGGGGAGGGGACAGAGCCCTTGGGGAGGGGACAGAGCTCTCGGACCCCACGGCGAGGGGGGCACCCCTCCAACGCTCCAGCTTGGAGCATCTCCCGGCGGGATGGTGCAGGTGGGATCCAGGCCACGAGCTCCCAGGCTGGAATATCCCTCCTAAAACAAGCCTTTCAGCCCAGAGCTGCTGAAAGGTGTGGCCAGAGCGTGGGTCAGGTGGGTTCCACACTGACTGGACGGCCCAGTGTCCTGCGTGGGGGTGTCCAGGGATCCGGGTAATCCCACAGCAGGGAGGTGGGTGGGTGGAGGGAGGAGATGGTGGCAATGGTGGTCCTGGCCTGCAGCTCTGTTCCCTGGGTGTCACAGGGGGGTCCCTAGCTTGGACCTGTGTTCGTCCCTGTGGGTGCAGCAGGGGAAGGGGCCGTGGGTCACTGTAGAACTGTGGTTGGGAGTTCATAGAATCATGGAATGGTTTGGGTTGGAAGAGACCTTAAAGACCATCTCAATCCACCCCCTGCCACTATCCCAGGCTGCTCCAAGGCCCGTCCAACCTGGCCCTGGACACTTTCAGGGATGGGGCAGCCACAGCTTCTCTGGGCCACCTGTGCCAGGGCCGCCCCACCCTCACAGGGAAGAATTTCTTCCTAATATCCAACCTAAAACTACTCCCTTCCAGTTTGAAGCCATTCCCCCTTGTCCTGTCACTTCCAGGCCCTTGTAGTCTCTCTCCATCTTTCCTGCTCGCTCCCTTCAGGTACTGGAAGGCCACAATTAGATCACCCCGAAGCCGTCTCCAGGCTGGACCATTCCCATTCTCCCAGCCTCTCCTCACAGCAGAGGTGCTCCCTCCTGCTCTGATCAACTTGGCGGCCTCCCCTGGACTCGCTCCAGCGCACCGAGTTCACACTCCCCGCTCCGTGATCGCTCCTACACCCCACCGTTACTATTAACGAACGCACACACGCACAGACACACGCACGAACATGCACTCAGACATTCCAGCATTAAACCCCGCGATGGGTGGGTGGTGGGTGGGTGACCCCCCCCCTCCGCCGCCGCGGCCACGCGTGGGTCGCGCCCCGCGCCCCTTCCATCACCCCCACACGGCCGTGCCCGCCCCGGTGTGCGTGTGTGTGTGGAGGGGGGGGTCACCTGCGCTCCCCGCGCTCACCTGCGCTCCCCCCCCCTCACCTGTGCTCCCCTCACCTGCGCTCCCCCGCTCACCTGCGGCCGCCGCTCCCGCGCCGGCTCCCGCCCGAACGGCTGCGCTGCGAGGCCGCGGGGGCCGCCCGTAACCATGGAGGGCGCGGCGCGGGGGGACGCTGGGGGCAGCGGGGTGCGAGGGAGGGCAAGGGGAGCGGGACGCCCCCGGCGCCCCTCGGGGCTCTCCCGGCGCTCAGCGGCGCCGCCGCCGCCGCCCGCCCGCTGCCGCCGCCATCGCGCGGCTCGCGCAGGGGGCGTGCCCGGGGGCGGCGCCCGCAGGGGAGGGGCCGGGGGGTGTGGCCGAGGGGAAGGGGCTGGTGGGCGTGGCCACGGGTAGCCCGCGGCGGGGCGGTGCTGCCCCCTGGCGGCGCGGAGGCGGCTCTGCAACCCCCACACCAGTTCAAATATATTTATTATATTCGTATTATATTAATTATATTCGTATTATATTAATTATATTTGTATTATATTTTTGTGATATTATTTATAGCATTACGTTATGTATTTTATTACACTGCTTGCAAGATGCTATTTACATTATATAGTTGCGTTTATACTATATTAGTTGCATTATTATATTAGTTGTATAATAATAATTGTATTACGCTATACAATATTACATCATATACAAAATTAATGTATAATGCCTAGTATTCTACATAATATAAAATATTAATTAATATATTAATTATATTAATATATGAATATATATTAATATTCATATATAAATATATTAATATTAATATATATTTATAATTTAGTATTATTTTATTATTTATATCATTATAACAGTAATCATAACAGTAATTACAATATACAATATTAACACATCATATGCAGTATTCATATATAATATAAATATCATAAAATATGAATTATAATAGTATATTTATTATACTAGTTTGTTATTTTTATTACTTATATTGTTGCGATAATAGTCATTATAATAGTCATTACCAAATGCAATATTAACAGATAATATATGGTATTCATACAGAATATATAATATTATGTATAGTGTTATACATAATATAAACAATTCATGATAAGAATATCTTTATTATTTTATATTTTTGTATAATTGATATTGCATATTTATTTTATTATATTATTTATAGTGTTTTGATAATAATAATAATAAATAATAATAATAATTATTATTACTATACTATACCATACTATACTATTCTATAATATAATATAATATGGGACTCTTTGTTAGGAATTATAGTGATAGGACAAGGAGTAATGGGTACAGTTTGAAAGTGGGGGAATTTAGGTTGGATATTAGGAAGAAGTATTTTACTCTGGTGTGACACTGGAACAGGCTGCCCAGAGAGGCTGTGGATGCTCCAACCCTGGAAGTGTTCAAATCCAGGTTGGATAAGGCCTTGGGATAACTTGCTCCGATAGAAGGTGTTCCTGTCCATGACAAGGGATGGAACTAGATGGTCTTTAAGGTACCTTCCAAACCCGTAAAATTCTATTATTCTAAGCACAAAAATTTACTGGGTGCAATTGAGTGGGTTTTGTTTGTCATGAGCTGAGTTTTGATTGTCATGAAGTCTCTTCTTATTTAGGAATAACCCAGAATCACATTCCTTTTTTTTTTTTTTTTTTTTTTTCCAAAGTTTGGGTTGGAAGGAACCTTAAAGATCATTCATGGACAGTGCCATCTTCCACTATCCCAGGTTGCTCCAAGCCCTGTCCAACCTGGCCCTGGACACTTCCAGGGATGGGGCAGCCACAGCTTCTCTGGGCAACCTGTGCCAGGGCCTGCCCACCCTCATAGGGAAGAATTTCTTTGTCTATGTTGCACAGTTTATTATTTAAAATCTAAATGGTATTGGTACGTAGCCTGTGCAGAATTCCCTAAATTCTGGACGTGATATATCTGCTTGTGAAAATAGGGAGTTGGGTTTCAGTCATCACAGATATCGGAGATATTTGATCTGTAGATTGTTCATCTTCGAGGCTCAAAAAGGATGGAAGTATTTACAGAATCCCAGGATGGGTGAGGTTGGGAGGGCCCACATCGGGTCATCTGGTCCCACCTCCTTGCTTGGGCAGGGTCATCCCAGAGCACACAGCATAGGATTGTGTCCAGATGGTTCTGGAATATCTCCAGCGAGGGGGCTCCACACCTTCTCTAGACAATCTGTTCCAGTGCTCTGCCACCCTCAGCGTAAAGAAGTTTTTCCTTGTGTTGAGGTGAAACTTGTAGGGATACAGTTCACGGCCACTGCTCCTCGTCCTGCCACTGGGCACCACCAAAAGGAGTCCAGCACCATCCTCTGACACCCCTTGGAGATATTTGTATGGATTGATGAGATCCCCTCAGCCTTGTCTTGTCCTCTTACTTTCTCTTTCCCTTTTCCTTTTCCCTTCCTTTTCCCTTCCCCTTCCTTTTCCCTTCCCCTCCTTTCCTTTCTCCTTCCTTTCTCCTTCCTTTCTCCTTCCTTTCTCCTTTCCTTCCCTTCCCTTCCCTTCCCTTCCCTTCCCTTCCCTTCCCTTCCCTTCCCTTCCCCCTTCCCTTCTCCCTTCCCTTCTCCCTTCTCTTCCCCCTTCCCTTCTCCCTTCTCTTCTACCTTCCCTTCCCTTCCCTTCCCTTCCCTTTCCCCTTCCCTTTCCCCTTCCTTTCCCCTCCCGTGACTAACCATGCCCAGCTCCCTCAGCCTCTCCTCCCTCAGCCGCTCCATTCCCTCACTCCCGTCCCGCTCCAGGATCTCCCCGTCCCTCCCGCCCTGAGGGGGCCGGAACTGGACACGCCCCGCTGTCAATCACAGCCTGTCAATCACCGTGACGGGCGTGCGCTCGGTCCAATCAGCGGCGGCCGCGACGCGCGGTGGGCGGGGCCGGAGCGGAGCCGGGCTGTGGCGGCGGTGGCGGCGGCGCAGGTGAGGGAGGAGTCCTGAGGGGCCGTGAGGGGAGCGGGGGGAGCCGGGGCTGCTTCGACCTCTGCGGCCGCCACAGCCCCCGCAGAGACCCCCGGGGGCTGTGCCAGGGGGGTCTGCGAGCGGGGGACCCTCCCGGAGCTTCCTCGGGGGGGGTGAAGGTCGCGCTGAGGGCGGGGGGGGCCCCGCCGTGAGCGGGCCGCTATTTCCTGTGGAAGGAGTCTCCTTCGCCTTCCCCTTTGGCTTTTGCGTCGCCTGTGCGGGATCCCAGACGTGGCCCCTGTGGTGGCCCTGTCGCCTGTCGTGACCCTGTCGCCTGTCGTGACCCTGTCGCCAGGCCGGCCCCCAGCCCGGCGGGTTGGACCCTGACAAGCAGAGTGGGAATAAACAGGGGCTGGGCGATGGCAGAAGGGAGCGAGGTTTGTGGAAGTGAAGCCGAGAACTGAACTTTAACCCGAGCGTTGTCTCTGTGGGTGTTTTCCACACGGGATTTCCCCTGTCGGGAGGCTGAGTGCCCGTGCCAGGGATACGGGTGCCTAAGGAACAGCCCGAGCTCCTGGAGACAACCCGAGCGTCACCAGCAGCCTCTGCTCACCTTAAAGTCTCTGTCTCTCTCTGTAGGTGCTGAGCCAGGATGGGTTTGGCCGAAGAAAAAGTGTACAGCCACATTATGAGGAACCTCAGGCATTTCGGGACTATCCATGTGGGGTCGCTGGCTGATTCCCTGACCTGCCTCGTCGATTCTGACCGAGTAATTTCCTCCTCTCCTTTCCCGAGCCCTGCCGTGCTCCTTCCCCAATGCGAACGTACAGCTGCCTTACCCCTAAAGCCAGACCTTCTCTTAGATGCCTTGTGTGCTTTTCCCAGGATGAACTCCACGCCCGGGAGGAGATGCGGGGCAGCCAGGCCACCGTCTTTAAGTTTTATCAGCTCCTGAGGTGCCGGAAGGACTGGGTGCTGGATCTCATCCAAGCCTTACGCCACAACAACGCAGGACACCTGGCTGACGAGGTGCAGGAGGTGTATGACACCTGGAAACCCCGTACGTAGCCTCGTCCTCCCTGGGTGCTGTCCCTGGAAGCTGGTGGAGGTGGGGACCCGAAACATGTCACTGAGCAGCTGGTCTCTGTCCCTGCCTCGGTGTCCGAGGGGCTGGGGGTGTCTGGCCATCCCTCAGCATGTCTGAGGGTGATGGGGTCCTTCTTTGAAGGTGCCTGGGTTGGTGGTGGGCTGGGGTTCTCACCTGGAGGGGAGGTGGAGAGATGAGTGAAGGGGTGCTGTGGGCTTGGCCGCTGTGGGCACTTGCAGGGCTGCCTCAGCTCCATGCTTATCCTCTGCTTCCTCAGCTTTCCCAGCAGTATTCCTGCTCATGATCTGCTTGACTCCTCCAGGTCCCTCAGCTCCCGCCCCGCCTCCTCCCTTCCCACCAATGCCTGTCCCGCCACCTCCTCCGTCAGTGCCCCGACACCGTCCCTGCGGCCGAATTCTGCTCCAGGAGCCCCACTGGCTGAGCAGCCTCGCCGGGACCTGCCCGCTGGTGACCATCCACCCATCCCACCCAGCGATGCCACCACCATGAGCGCCCATCTGGAGGCCAGAATCCCGGTGCAGGAATCGGTGAGCAGGGCACATGTTGGATGGGGACACAAAGGTCCCTTTTGGACCTTTTGGTGGGGTGTGGGAAGCCCGTGGTAGGGCCAGGCTGGTTCAGGGCCACCCCAGGCAGACTCTCACCGCTGATCTCTGCTGGATCTGGTAACTTACAGGTTATGTATGGCCTTGTAACTGCTCCCCCTCCCACCTCCCCTCCGTGGGGGTGTGCAGGCTCCACTCTATTAGTCCAGGCTCCTCTGCACAGCCCCTGACCCTTGTATGAGCTGTGGCGGGTGTCAAGGAGGTAGCCCAGACCCCCTTCATCAGCAGCCTTGCTGGGGCCACTGCTCAGGGTTTAGGGCACCCTGATGATCCTGGATCCCCTCACTCCAGTGATTTAACACAGCTCGTTTCTCTTCCAGCTCCCCAAAAAACTCCCGGAGCAAGAGAGTGTCCAGCCAACTCCACCTGGGAGCACATTCTGTGACGGAGTGAGCGGAGAGGGACCCCTCTCCCACCCCGGTGATACCATGCAGGGGTCAGTGGGGACCCCCGGGCTGGCCAGTGTGTCCGTGCCATCGGCCGTGCCCCCGGAGCAGGGCCGGGACTGGCTGAGCCGCCGGCCGGTGTGTGTGGACAACGGGTGTTTTGGGAATGCCAACCACCTGCACCGCGGGGCGCCGGGCCTGGCGCTGGGCAGGGCTCTTCCAGCCAGGGAGCCCGGTGCCACTCACAGCCCCGAGCGGCCCCGCAACGAGCCCGAAGAGCACTCGGACGCGTCCACGGAATTTCCCCCGAGGCTGGAGGAGGCCGCTCGTGGTGTGGGGCAGCAGCCCCCAAACTCACTGCCAGAAAAGCAGCCTGTGCCGAGCTCTGAGCCCCCGAGCAGCTTGGTGGATGTGCGCAGCCCCCTCCTCATACAGGAGCAGTTTGACGCAGAGAAGAAGCGGGTCCAGATGCTGCAAGAGCACGGAGGGCGTGGAGGTGGGTTTGCTTCCTGGCAGAGCCATGTAGCCACTGGGGAGCAGGAGGTGCTGCTGAAAACCTGTCACTGCAGGGAAGAAATTGGAATGCTAGAGTGTGTCCAGAGGAGGGAACGGAGCTGGGAAGGGGCTGGAGCAGCAGGAGGGGCTGAGGGAGCTGGGGGGGCTCAGCCTCAATAAAAGGATGCTCAGGGGGACCTTCTGGCTCTGCAACTCCCTGACAGGAGGGGGGAGCTGGGGGGAAGTCGGGCTCTGATCCTAGAGAAGAAGGGACAGGACAAGAGGAAAAGACCTCAAGCTGTGCCAGGGGAGTTTTAGGTTGGATATTGGGAAAAATTCTTCATGAAAAAGGCTGTTCTGCCCTGGCACAGCTGCCCAGGGTGGAGTCCCAATCCCTGGAGGGATTTAGAAGACATGTAGATGTGGCACTTGGGGACAGGGGTCAGTGGTGGCCTTGGCAGTGCTGGGTTAAGGGTTGGAACAGAATAGAACAGAACAGACTATTTAATTTGGAATGAACCTACAATGGTCATCTCACCCAACTGCATTTTAATTTTTGCTGTCAGTGGGGCAGCTCTGGGGCGTGAAACTTCTTCCCCTCCCTTGGTTTGCAGAGATGTTTGTGTTCTGTGTCTGGGGGAATTTTAGCATCTCCTGCATCCATTGCCTGCATGGGCTTCATGGAATAGAATGAAGCTCTGCCCTCCCCTCCAGGGTCTCTGGGGAGAGGGACACCCATCCCTCCCAGCCTGTTCCCCTCCACCATGTGGGATCAGCACCTCCTGGCTGGGGGAGGACATGGAGCTCAGATCCCACGGGAGCCTTGAAAGCCTCCATCTCCCTCAATGCTCCCCAACCCTGCAGCCTACCCTGGGTTAGTTACCTGCAGCTGCCAGGAGAGCTCGGATGCCATGGCAGATCCAGAGCACTGTGTCCTGCTCCCTGTGTCCTGATCCCTGTGTGACCCCCTCAGCTTGGGGACTGTCCTGTCACAGCGTCCTCGAAGAACAGCAAAACTCGCCTTTTAGGCCTCCTGGTTAACACAGTGTGCTGTTTTCTCCCTGACAGACACTTCCACAGGAACAACCACCCTGGTCGCTACCCCTGTGCCCAGAGGCACTTCCCCATCCTATGACACCTCTGTGAAATCTGTACCAGAGAAGAAACCGCCTGTTGGGAGCAGAGCTGGCAGCACCTACTCCATGCCGACGGAGAAAGTAGGTGACCTTCCCTCTTGCCACTTTCATTTCATCCAGGTCCTTGTGAACTCCCCCTGGCTGGGAGATTTTCTACCGCAGTGTCACATTTTGAGCTGGTGGTGAGTTTAGTCTGGGATGTTTTCCTCCCGTTTGTTCATGTTCCCATCCAGATGCTGCATTTTGCAGCGTAAGAGAGGGAAGCCAAGTTCTGTTGGGCTTTGACTCCTTATTTCCCCTCCTTGACTGGCCAGTCAGGCTCCTGCCTTCCAGGTGCTGCTTTCCTCCCCTCACTGCCTGGCTCCCTTCTATCCTTCTGATACCTCCCCTGAGTCCCAAAGGTTCCCTGGAGCCCCAGCACCTCCCTGCTCCTCTTGCACTCCCAGCCCTGGGAGTTACCTGTGACCCAGCCTCGCTGTTGGTGGCAAGAGACGTAGGGGCTGAGCGCTGAGCTGGGTTTGTCCTGTGATGTGTGTGCCCAAGACCAGGCCAATGGGAGATTCCCACGGCACCCACCCCCTCTCCTTGTCTCCCAAAGGTGTTCCCAGCCTCGGCAGAGCCTCTCCTTGGCACAGCTGTGGTGGGAAGCTCCGAAGGCACGGCTGGGAGATCGGCCTCCCGGGTGAGCTCTGACACGAGCACCTGGGCATCCTGCAGCGATGCAGAGGAGGGTGTGGAGCTCAGCAAGCCGGGCGTCCTTGTCTCCGAGGCTCCGGGGGACACAGAGGTGCCCGGCAGATGCCCGGGCTCTCACGGGCCCAGCAACCCCAATTCTGCAGCCTCCGACAGCCTCGGCCTCAGCAGCGACCCAATCCTGGTGAGCAGCGATAGCTCGACAGGAGCATTCTCCAGAGGCTCCTCGGCTCCCGCAGCTTGTGCAGACCCTGGGGGACAGGAAGCAGATGGAGCGAGCAGAGACTCCCGTCCGACTCCGAGCTGGGACAGCACCTCCGTGGGCATCCATGAGGTCTGTGTGGATCACTACCCCAGCGTCCAGCTCGGAGCTGGCAATGATGGAGTCGGTCCCCTTGGAAGCTCTCCGGATTTCGACTCCAGTGCTGGCTGTGGCGCTGCCACCAGCTCGTCTCAGGCCAAGGTCCCCACAGGGGACAGCAACGGCCCGTCCCTGCCGTACATCCTCCCTGCCGTGGGCATCGCCGTCATCTCTGCCGTGGCATTCCTGGTGTACGCTCGGCTCCAGAAATAGCAGCTGGGATGTCACGCAGCCGGGACGATTCCTCTGGCAACAGGATTCTGGCCAACGTGTTTGAAGCCTGAAGAGCAGCGGGGGGACGGGAGGGGTGTGGTTAAATCTCTTTCTGGAAGGTTCTGCTGGAAGAGGCCTTGGTACGGGATGCTGTTGGGTTTGGATCTGTTCCATCCAATTTCCCAACCATCTTCTTTTTACACCCACGGAGAGGGTCTCTCTCCAGGGCAGTGCCTTGAGTCAGAAAAGTCCTCGTGGCGATTCTCCACGTCTTCCTTGTTTGGTCCCAGGAGGCCCCAGGGAAACATGCACTGGTGATCCAAAGGGTGACCCCCTGGGTGCCTTTGGGCAGCAAAGCCAGGAGAGAATTTGCAGGTATCCTGTAACAGCAGAGCTGGTTTTCTTGGCTCTGCTCCTCTTGGCTTGAAAACATGCCCGAGGATTGGTGCAGGAGCCTTCACCAGGCGTCTCATGTTCAGTTTGCCTTACTTGATATCTCTGGCACTGCCAGACACCTTTGAGGGGCTCTGCAGCTCCTTCTGGGGTCGCTCCATGCAGCACCAACCCTGGGGATAAACAGGAGGGTCAGGAGGGAGTTGCATCTAACCAGTGTTCCTGAGGATTGGCCTCATTTCACCCCCTCCCGGCAGGAAAACGGGATTCTGCTTTAAGGGGAATGTTTCAGGCAATGCCAGCATTAAGCAGACTTGGTCCTACTCAGGGTTGTAGGGTGTCTCTGATCTTTAGGCTGGATTTTGGGGGTGTGGCTGGAGGGGTGGATGGAGTTCTCATCATTCCTGATACCTGCTGCTGTGGTATAGGAATACAGGAAGCTTGTGCCCTGTGCCCAGGCTGGGACACAAACAGGATCCACTGCACACTGCAGGGGTGCCATACAGAGGTCTGAGATGCTCTGGGCCCAGGGAGACATTCCAGCACCTTCCAGTGCCTAAAGGGGCTCCAGGAGAGCTGGAGAGGGACTTTGGGCAAGGGCCTGGAGGGACAGGACAAGGGAGAATGGCTTTCCACTTGCAGAGGGCAGGGTTAGGTGGGATATTGGGAAGAAATTCTTGGTTTTGATGGTGGTGAGGCACTGGCTGGCACAGGTTGCCCAGAGAATCTGTGGCTGCCCCTGGATCCTTGGAAGTGTTCATGTCCATGTTGGACAGAGCTTGGAGAAACCTGGAGCAACACTTCTAATCCAAGCTATTGCTTCTTCCCTGCTTTCCTGTGTTACAGAATCACAGAATGGTTTCGGTTGGAAGGAACCTTAAAGACCATCTTGTTCTACCCCCTGCCATGGGCAGGGACACCTTCCACTAGCCCAGGTTGCTCCAAGCCCTGTCCAACCTGGATACTTCCAGGGATAGGGCAGCCTCTCTGGGCAACCTGTGCCAGGGCCTCCCCACCCTCACAGGGAAGAATTCCTTCCCAATATCCCATCTATCCTTGCCCTCTGGCAGTGGGAAGCCATTCCCTGTGTGCTGTCCCTCCAGGCCTTGTCCCCAGTCCCTCTCCAGCTCTCCTGGAGCCCCTTTAGGCCCTGCCAGGGGCTCTCAGGTCTCCCTGGAGCCTTCTCTTCTCCAGGGGAACCCCCCCAGCTCTCCCAGCCTGGCTCCAGAGCAGAGGGGCTCCAGCCCTGGCAGCATCTCTGGGGCCTCCTCTGGACTCTCTGCAGCAGCTCCACGTCCTTGTGCTGTTGTTCCCAGGGCTGGGGCAGCTCTGCAGGGGGGTCTCCCCTGAGGAGGGCAGAGGGGCAGAATCCCTTCCCTCAAACCCACGTGTCCAGTAACTTACTTGTCCTGAATTCCTGCTGTCAGCACAGCTTTCCAAAATCCATCGTTCCTGCTGGCTTGGAGCAGGAGGGAGGTCATCTCCCTGGAGCCTGGCTGCCAACTGCAGCCTTTGTGCCCAGAGCTGGGCCTGCGTAGGGAAGGGTCCATCAGCTGTGTGATGGAATGGCTGCTCCTCCCTCCTAACACTTCCCCTGCACCCAAAAATCCAAGAAGTGCCTCCAATAATCCACTAAGGACAGTAAATACATGCAGGGAGGTGCTGATTCCGGTGTGATGGGGCTGCTCTCCCAGGAGAGCTCGAGATGTTCTTTCCTTGCTCAGCGCCTGGTGACGTATCCGTGAGAGGAGGGAGCAGTCCTTATAAAAGCTCCCGTCTGCCAGGAGTGGGAATGTGGGGGCTGATCTTCCTGTTTAAGATAACAGGGTTATCATTCCCTAAAAAGAGGGGACATCCATGAGATCCCAACCAGCAGCATCCATACCAAGGCCGTCTTCTCTGATGCTTTACTCACCTGCAAAATTCTTCCCGAGTTTTTCCCTACTTTATAGCAGCAGCTTTTCAGCTTTGCCTTTTGATGTCGAATTTCCCCTGTGAAACAGCCGGTCCGTCACCACCTCGGGCCAGGGAGGAGCACACGTTCGGATTTCTCTGTGGAGTGCTGGGGTTTTCACAGTCATTACGTAGCACTTTAAAGCCCCACGGGGCAGGAGATGGAGCAGGAGGGAGCTGTGTCCCTGCTCATCTTTTACTAACAGGACGAAAAGCCTTTTACTAACTGTAATAAATTGGTTTGATGCTTGACACCCGACTTCCTGTGAGTTTGTGAGATGAGGAGCAGGAGGGGATGCTCTGAAGGGCTCTGCTGGCAGTGACACAGAGTCTGAGGACACTGGTGTCAGGAAGAGGTGACAGGATTCGGGGACAGCTTCCAGACCTCATTTTGGAGCAAGCACAGCAAGTCTTCCTGTCGGTAGTTGGATGCCCAGGATGAAGAGGCAGCTGAGCTGTGGAAGTCACGGTGCCTGGCTCTTGCTCACCCCTGTGTCCCTTTTGGGGACAAACACGAAGCTTTTGGGACAGAACATCCCTCTCCATGCCCTCTCCTTGCTGCCTTTTCCACAGGAGGCCCCTCAGCACTCTGCTGTGACACCTCATGAACTCTCCTCGCTTTCCCAGCTTTCCTGCTTTCCGAACTCCAGCTCTTACGGCCCAGGTATGTGAAACAATGTTCAAAGTACTCAGAGCTGTGGGCAGTGGAGCTCAGTGAGTCCCTTTTCCACCCAAATGAAGTCAACACTGTTCTGAAGGAGGTTATTTGTGTTTAGAGAGCTCTCCTTTGTGTCCTGTCAGTGCCAGCCCCATTTATCCCCTTCCTCCACTCACCCAAAAGGGTATCAAAACACACCAACTGCGTCTGACCGATCCCTTTGTCCCATTTCCACCCAGGTGACCAGAATTCAGAGAATTCTCAGGGAAATCACCCCACCTTTGTGGGATGTCGGTGGCTGATCTCTCTGGTATCGAGTTAATGCCCGAGGATTGCGGTGAGCTGGGATTACCCCAGGGCGAGTGAGGAGCACTACGAGGTCGCTGGGCTGCAGTGCCAGGCCTGGCCACGCTCCCGGTGTGCCAGAACGCGATTAACATTCCACCTGGGAACCCCTGTCCTGTTACAGCCGGGAGACTCTTTTCCTCTTGGATTTCCATCCTTGTCGGTCCTTGCTTACCCCCCTCTTCGTGGTCACCTCAGTTTTTCTGCTGCCCGGGTGTTTCCTGCTGTGGTTGATAAATGTGGGGTCAGGGTCTGAAGAGCGGGATGCACCAGTACTGGAATTATGTTGGGATATAAAGAGGCATTGTGGATGCTGAGATAACAGGGAGAAACTCTTCCCCGTGAGGGTGGGGAGCCCTTGGCACGGGTTGCCCAGAGAAGCTGTGGCTGCCCCTGGATCCCTGGAAGTGTCCAAGGCCAGGTTGGAGCAACCTGGGCTAGTGGGAGGTGTCCCTGCCCATGGCAGGGGGGTGGAATGAGATTGTCTTTAAGGTCCCTAACTGCCCGTGGGGTTCGGGCCATGGTGGGTGTCAGATGCCCCCATCTGTATTTGCATCATTTCATATGCAAATCATATTCAAATCACCCCCCGCGCGCGGCCGAGCCCGGCCGGGCCTACTGCGGATCTACCCTCGGCCCCCCCGCGTTGCCACGGTTACCCGGCCTGTCAATCACCGCGCCTTCTCCCGCCTCCAACAGGAAGCGCCCTCACTCATTGGACAACTGCCGTGTCAATCTCACAGCAAAATGAGCCCATAGGCCAGCGCTGCCGCATATCGACCCGCCCCCGCTGGCGCACGCTTCCCATTGGAGAGCCGCGCGTGTCACTGTACGCGGCCGAGCGCGGGGCGCTCCGCAGCCGCCCCATCCCCGCCTGCCTATTGGTGGAGCCGCCTGTCGCTCCGCGCGGCGGGGGGCGCGGATTGGCGGGCGCCTCACGGGGTGTCCCGCCCCGCGGGGCCGCGCGGCGCAGGCGCGCCGGGGGCGGTGGCTGCGGCGGCGGAGCGGGAGCGGGGGGCCGGAGCCGGAGCGGGAGCGGGGCCGGGCGGCCCATGGGGCCGGGCCGCGCTGCCCATGGAGCCGCCGCGCAGCTGCGGCGATGGCGCGGAGGAGGAGAAGAAGCCGCGGCGGCGGGGCGGCGGCGCGGACGCGGGGCCGCCTCAGCTCCGGCGGCGGAACAGCGGCGGCGCGGCTGGCGCGGCGGGGCCGCAGCCCCGCGAGCGCGGCGGGTCCGTGAGCCGGCAGCGGCGGGACTCGGTCCGCAAGAACCGCCCGCGTGAGTGAGGGCGGAATGGGGAAGGGGAGAAGCGGGAGGGGGCGAGGGGCGGGGCTTGTGGTTGGTGGGCGGGGTTATGATAATGAGCGAGGGGCGGGGCGGAGGCGGGGGCGGCAAAGGGAGGGATGGGGACACTGGGACAGCACGGGGGGCTGGTGGCGGGGACATGGCGTGAGCGGTGCGGGGACAGCGCAGTGGGGACACGGGGGGGTGGTGGCGGCTTGTCCAGCATGGCCAGTTTGCGGTGGTGGCATGGGGATATGACCACCCTGGGGACAGCACAGTGGGGTGGTGGCATGGGGATATGACCACCCTGGGGACAGCACAGTGAGGTGGTGGCATGGGCACGGCATGGCCAGTCCGGGGACAGCACCGTAGGAACGCGGTGGGATGATGGCTTATCTGGCATGGCCAGTTTGGGGACTCAGTGGGGCGGTGACATGGGCACAACATGGCCAGTGTGGGGACAGCACGGTGGGGACGCAATGGGACAGTGACACGGGCTCAGCAGGTTTGAGGGTGGGACAAGCTGAGCTCCAGGCACTCTGGGAGGTTCAGGATGAGGCAGTGCCTGGGATGGTGGGGCAGGACATGGGATGGGGCTGTGGCAGGTGCTGAGATGCCCGAGTTGGATGGGAGGGAAGGTGACTGGTGACACAGAGGGTGAGGAGAAGGGCACAGAAGGACAGACAGAGGGGTGGGGTGTGAGGGTGTGAGGCTCGACTGGTAACTGGGAAAGCGAATGGAGAGCATAGGGAATGGTGTCAGTTTTGGGAGGGAAGAGCCCCACTGGTTTGGCAGGGGTTGGGCACAGCCCGACCGGGTTTCGTGAGGAGGAAAAATCCACCCCTAAACCCAGGTTTTGAAATGTCCTGTTGGAAACTGCAAAATGGATGGCAGCCTTCATTTTGGGAGCAGCAGGAGCTGCCGTGCAGGTGCCGTGGCTGTCACTGCCTTCAGCCATGTTTGAGGAGGAACCCAGCCATTATTCCTTGACTTTCGCCGGAGTCCTTCCCTCCTCCTGGAAGGGAATTGCCAATTCCCTGAAAATGAAACAGCGTCAGTGTAATTCCTCAGTGCCTGCACAGCAGTTAAGAGGATGTGAGCGATGAATCCAGGCTGAAAACAGGGATCAGGATTCTCCTGCATCTCGTCTCCTGGCTGGCAACGCCAAGGCGTTGTTGTTACCGTATCCGTGTGAAGTTTTAATGGTCTTCTTGCTCTTTTTGTGGTACTGGTGAAACAGGAAGCTTGTCTTTTTCCCTATCTTACTGTGAAAAATAGGAATAAGGATCTGTGGGGCTGTTAATTAGAGACCTGCCGGTTAACAGGCTGCAGGGACATGAAGGAGATGTCTGCTACAAAAATGAGGGAGGACTCGGAGCTCTGTGTTAGGTGATGATTCTCCTCTGCCTTGCCCGGGGCAGTTTCTGTGTCTCCTCTGGAAAATATGGATTAAAGCTGACCACTGAGGTTCTGGTTTGTTGTGCTGGAGGTAAATGCAGAGAGTGGCGTGGGATGCTTTAAGGAAAACAGGTGTTCTGGCAGCTTCCAAGAGAGGATTTGGATCCCGTCTGGAAGGTCAGCGTGGCGTGATTCGGGATTACAATGTAGCCCATCTTCCCTAAATGATCCTTGGGGATAATTGGAAGAGAAATGTGCGTCCCTTAGCAGGGACAATGCCTGTTGTCAGGGCAAATCACATTTTGGAGTTAAAATGCTTGATCCCACCTCAAGGAAGACTTGAGCCGAAACGAAGGCGAAGCGCTTAATGGGCACGGGATCAAAAATGTCCTACTTAAGCTCGCACTTGTCTGCTGCTGGCATGTGGCAAACGGGCTCGGTGACCTTGAGGCTTGTCTTGCCTGGCTGTGCTGGCAGATGCCCCGGCAGATGAGCCCCCCACTTCGCCAGGAATGAAAGGATTTCAGCGGGCTCGTGATCCTCCTTCCACGCCATCCCTCTGTGCCAGGATGTGCAGCCGGGGGCTGCGGAGATCAGGGAAGGTCTGAGGCCAAGAGGGACTGGATTTGGGATAGACCTGAAACAAGAAGTGCAGCCCATGTCCCAGCTGTGTGCCTTCATGCCCCTCGGGCTTTTAAATCCCCTGGGAATTTGAATTCCCAGTCATTTGGATGTGGCATTTGGCGACACGGTTTAGTGGTGGAGATGCCAGTGCTGGGCTGAAGGCTGGCCTCGATGATCTTGGAGGTCTTTTCCAACCCTAAAGGCTTCCATGGTTCTGTGAAATGTTTCTTGGAACTGAAGAGCTTTCCTGCAGGATTTTCCTTGTGCCAGAGCTGGAAGAGGGAGAAGTCAAGGACACTGTTGCTCTCAGAAGGGAGTGAGAAGTGTCCCTGAAAACGATGTGGAGATTTGTTGAAGCTTTGGAGTGATAACCCTGACAGGGTTATTAGTGCAGGCAGACATTATTTCTCCAAGAAAAAATATTCTTTCCTTTTAGCTGATCCCTTTTACTTAATAAGTTTTAGTACTCCCTGTCAGAATCATGCAAAGACAAAATGGACACATGGCTTTAAATTCTCAATATAAACAGTATCCAAGCAGAGGTACAAATAAAATGCTGTTCTGACACCTCTTTTTGTCATACAAAATTCAAGCTTTGATTTTTTAAATACCTTTTTTCTCCTTCTGGAATGGCGTAAGAAATATGAATTCCTATCAGAGCCTATTTTTAAGGGTAGGAGGAGGTGTAGACTTAGTGTCACTTTGTATTAAACGCTAATGAATTGTATTTTTTTTCCCAGCTGTAGGATTTCCAGCCTGGTTTAAAACTATTAAAATATAATATTGAATATTTTAGAGTAAGCCTAGAGGTGCTGTCACACACTCAACTAAATCATCAGTTCCATGGGCTAATCTTTTTAGCTCCTGATATAATTGGCTCAGAAGTTAAAGGATGACTCTGAGGTACAACTCGAGCTGCTTGTTTTGTGAAGAAAATCCACCCTG